TATATATAGTGATTCATTATGTTGTGATCCTTATGTTGTGATATGCATCGTATCACCAAATTCTTGCCCTATGTAGATATGTGTGTTACATTAGCTGTTTAAATGCTAATTGTGCATCATGTTTCCTCCTGATAAGTTGATGGTTTTAGCAAGTTAATAAGAGCCTTTTGTGTACTGCATGTCTAAAACTTTTTTCTGTAGAGGTTTAAATTTGATAAAGTGTGTTTATTTTTTAAACTTTGCATAAATGAGTTTTCTATCCACTTGCATTTGAACCATATTATTTATTTTACTTACCAGAATGCTCTCTTGGACAAAAGTGCTACACAATGAGCCATCTGTCGCTCTATATTGCTTTGATAATGTGCCAAGACACAGCACGCCCAATTTTGTCCTTAGTGCCACCTCCATGTGCACCGCATGATATCTATTAATGTACAACTGTCAGGTTTTTTCTCCACCACACTTTTACTTTTACAAAAAAATCTTCATCAGTTTGTGTTGATTTATAAAAAAATGTGTAAGGATGTTTTTTTCTTTTGTCTTCCCATTTGTTTTTTTTATGCTCTAGGGGAATATCAGTTTATCCCCCCATCCTTGCTGCTGGAATGCAGCTCAGATGTTGCAAAGATTACAGAGAGCAGTCAGTCCTGTAGACTGCCTCTGATGCGCCTCTCCTCCCTTCTTTTCTCTGCAGCTCCGCACCGACGCAGAGAAGCGCTCCCTGGTGGAAAGTGGCCTTTCTTGGTACAGCGAAGATGGCAAAGTCAGCCACAAGCTCACCAGCTGCAGCTATGACTCAGGAAGTCTAAAAACAGAAGCTCCAAGCAAGTGGAGGAAAAAGCCTCCGAGCCTCAGTGAAGATTTTGGGATGAAAGGAGAATTGAAGAAGCCTCAAAGTTTGGGTCAGCCAGGTAGTTTTAAGAAGGGGAGAAATCCTCCAGTCGGCGTGACTTCCCCCATCACCCATACCTCACAGAGCATGCTGAAAGTTGCAGGTAAGACCTAATATATTTGTACTTATCAAGAGATATTTAGTTTTATTAGTTAATTTTGCACTTCTACATTGCTTTAAATTAAATTTACAGTTATTTTTCTTTTTGTTGTTGTCTGTCCTTCTGTAGCTCCAAAAATTGAGAAGCCTCTGGACAAATCTAAAATGTCTGTGAAGGCCGCTGGTCTACAACGGAGYCGTTCTGATGCTGGCAGGGATTATCATGGAGAGCATCGCAAACCCCCATCAGGTTTAGTCAAACCATCTGCAGGGGGCTCGTTTGGATACAAGAAACCACCACCAGCCACTGGTACTGCGACTGTTATGACAGCAGGGGGCGCCACCATCTCCAGTGGCTCTGCTACTGTGGGGAAAACCCCCAAGTCATCTGGCATCCCTGTGAAGCCCGTGGGGGGAGGAACAACTTTGGGCAGAAAGAACAGTTTCGACGCCAGCAGTGAACAGGGCTTCTTGGGGCCGAATGCCCGRAACAGCATTCAGTATCGCAGCCTGCCTCGGCCGGCTAAGTCGAGCACCCTCAGCGTCATCGGCCGCCCGGCAGCTCGACCCGTCAGCGGCACCATTGACTCGAGCCTGTTGAGTTTGAAGCCTGTACCCCTGGCCTCCACAGGGCCCAGGATTAAAGAGCCCAGTAGCTGTGGCAGTAAAATATCTAGTCGAACCAGTACAGGCCCAGTCAACCAGACAGACAGAGAAAAGGAGAAGGAAAGAGCAAAAGCCAAGGCTGTAGGTGCTGACATGGACTGTGCCACGCTGAAAGGAGAGAACAGTCAGTCTGAGTCCACAGGAGAGCCTGCTATTAAACTGCATGGCCTGAGACGGACCAGCAGCAGCAAATACCCCGAACTCTCGTCTCCCACAACACCAAGGTCTCTATTTAAAATCGTGATCACTTAAATCACAAAAAGAAAACAATGTAAAAAATCTTTCTGACCCGTTGTACCACAATATGTTAAATTTACTGTAATTGAGGCACGTACAGGTTTGAAAAAAAAATAAGTGTACCAATTACTTGTTCAAAACAACCGAGTTGGACTTGTTTCCTTAATTTTGTGATATCTTGTGTTTTCTGCTTGATTTCTAGGATGCTCAACACTAAATGTCTCGGCCGTCCGCCCAGCTTGGCTCACCTGGACAAGGTCAATTCGAACAGTCTTGATTCCTGTGTGACTATCCAAGATCTTCCGCCCAAAGTACCCCCATATTCTAAGCTTCAGGACTTGGCTGGTTCCCACACTGGAACGCGTCTCACTCCCAGCCCAGCGCCCGTCCTCCACATCGATTCTCCCAGTTACACCAGTGAAAGCCTGAGCTTGAGTGGGTCTCCCATGCTCTACCCTAAACTGTCTAGCATCCATCGCAGCTTGGAGTCCCTGCCGCTCCAAATGAGCGTTCCCTGCAGTGCTAGGTTTGTCCCAGCAGATCTATGCGACAAGGAGGAGCGGGGTGCAGGAACTTGGGGAGGTGGAACTAGGACATCCCTCAACCTATCAGATGGGTAAGTATTCTACATTTTCAGAACAAGTCAAGTTTTGTTTTTGGGCAAGTTTATCAGAATATTATTAGAGGAGCAAGACATGTATAAAGTCACTTGTTCAAACAAAGAAAACCAAAAACACTGGTGTCCAAGAAAGACCAAGGGCAAAGATAAAGAGTAAACAAAGAACTAAAAACACATTAAGAAAATCTGTTTTGTTTTGTGAACCAATATTAGTTAAAAAACCTGCTTGTCTAAGCAGCAGTTAATTTGTAACACTGTTTGGTTTAGTCAGCATGAATACTGGGTTTGTTGGCAGCTGATATACCATCAACTTTATGTGGCTTTTCTGGGAACAAGAAGTGTGAGCTGTCATTTTGAATCAGTTCTGATGGACTGGATTCATCACAGACTTGCTGCTTACCAAGGTGGAGAGGATCCAGATTTCCAGCCAAAGAACTGCACACTTCGGAAATCCCATGCTGTTTTTTTCAAAGTGCTTCTTGTAGCAAAATCGAAAGATTGAAATGCAAACTGATGACATCTGCAGATTGAATATAGATTTGACACAGAAACCTGATGTGTATGGCAGTTCTGAAAAAACCTGTACCAACATGCTGTGTATTTGAAATGGGAGATTTAGAACCAGTAATATTTGTTACCCTTGTCTTTACAGCTTGCAAACAGATCGGAATACTTTGCCAAAGAAAGGCTTGGAGTGAGTCTCAGCAATCTTGCATATTTTTCAGATTGCGTCAGTTATTATAACTTCACTGCTTTCAGTTAAATAAATGCGTCCTTTTCAGACGCTACGGCTCAAGCCTCTCAGACAGCGATGGAGGCAAACCAGGACGGCGCCACTCCCACAATGCAGTGAGCATGACAGAGAGCGATAGCCCCCCTCAGTTGCCTTCGCCCACCCGCACGCTTCATCCTTCCTCCAGCAAAACTCCTCTCACTAACGTGGGTGAGTGTGATTATTCCACAAGGCTGCCATTATCTACAAACCCTCACTGTCTGAGTCTACAAGCTAATGAGGATACTGATCTTTTATGATCAGTCTATTATTGTTGACTTTCTATAGGAACAGGGATGTTGGGTTTATATTGAGACAAAAGTCCAGCTAAATKTTTATTTGGAAAATCCTCAAACAAGCTGTCAATGATAGTTTGCATTGAGTGATAAAAGTAAAATTAAGTTTACTTTTTTATTTGTTTCTTGTATGATAGTTGCCCCAATTTCATATGGCACCCCGAGGATATCACGCTCCAACAGTACAGGCCCCTCCAGTGACACAGCCTGCGATCTGTATGGATCCTCCCCCCTGGGCAGCAGTATGTCCCTGGCTGACCGGCCAAAAAGCATGATGCGGTCCGGGTCTTTCCGTGAACCAGGGGAGGATGGTAAGCACTCCCTCCTCTCCTCTAAACTGGGCGAATCATCCAACAAAACTTAAAATGAAACAAAGCTGTGTGCTTGCACAACAACCAGTCCTTTAGTAAAATGGTACGGACATTTGTTTTCATGTTAAAGTAAAGTGGCAAAAAGGCTTGTTGCTTATGTTTTAGGCTGAGATTGGGCTAAATAGGAATTCAAAGTCATACTTGAAGTTTTAGAAACTTAGGAAAGTTGCATCAAAATTAAACTTGTTCTTTAGGCAATCAGATTACAGTCAGATTTTCTAAGAGGATTTGACGTCTAAGAGCAGAAATCACTTTTTTATTATCAACAGATCATTCTAAAGTAACAGTGGGGTGCAAAACTTTGGGCAGCCTTGTTAGTTTTCCTGATTTACTTTTTATAAATCATTGATTGTTTAAAATTAGGCAGGTACCTAAATTTGGGCGCCATAAAAAAATCTTAACTCAATATTTAGTAGATCCTCCTTTCAAATAAATAACAGCTTCTAAACACTTCCTATAGCTTCCAATGAGAGTCTGGATTGTGGCTGAAGGTATTTTAGACCATTCTTCTTTACAAAACATCTCTAGTTCATTCAGGTTTGATGGTTTCTGAGCACAGACAGCTCTCTTTAAGTGACACCACAGATTTTCAATAATATTCAGATCTGGGGACTGAGATGGCCATTCTAGAATGTTGTACTTGTTCCTCTGCATGAAGGCCTCAGTAGATTTTGAGAAGTGTTTTGGTTGGTTGTCTTGTTGGAAGATCCAG